AGTCGTTTATGTCTAACTTGGATTTTAGCAGACCTATTATTCCTATTTCTATAATGAAATGCTTAACTGGCTCATATTCTGCCAAGCTTTAAGAAACGCAATCTACTTTAAAAGCCCTCAGTAACAACAATCAGCAGGATTACAAGAAAAGGAATAACTTTTTTCACCTTATACAAATCTTTTTGGCTAACTCAGAAGTACGTACGGGTACTAGAGTGCACAGTCTTGTAAAATATTGGCACTTTTTATGAGTAAGCCGTTCAGTGAGTGACTCTCATGGGAGCAAGCAGGCGAAAATTAGCTCTCTGACTATAGACAAAGTTTAAAGTTAGTTTCGACAGGTTTCTTGGGGGTAAAACTGACAAAGAGGACTTATTTAAAAGCTTCAAAATTCGTACCGTTCTTATAGTAAATTCACTGGAACTCTAACATAAATTTTTATTATTTTTCATCCATGTGTTCTGAACGTACTAGTAAGGTTTTGCAAACAAAATTCGTACAAATGTTTTTAAATTAGAAAGGCATCCTGATGGAAAACCATTCATGAGGTGCGTCAAAAAATCTGTTCATGAAACCGTTCAAAAGTTACCTGGTTGCTTTGGCCGGTGGTGAGTATTATGGTACTTGGCAACTACTCCTATGCCAGCGCAAAATAAGCGACAGTAAGTGATGCTGAGCCGTAATTTTTGTTGTTTTGTAAGTGAAAAAAAGAGTGTAACAATGACAGCTATTGAGCAGTAGATAAAGGACGTTAAGCATAGACTCAGTCGGATCGGTAAGAGCAACAAATACCGAAACAGCACAGATACTAAATATCCAAACAAATGGCGCTTCAAGATTTTCCTCGGTGCGTCTGGGAACGGTAGGCGGCCTGGCAATTCCAATAATGTCGTATAGAAAGGTGGTGCTGAGTCAAATGCAACACTGATTTCATCCTGTAATTCCGAATTATTCTTATGTTGGTCCTCTTCTCCACAACATAAAAAATATCATCTTTTTTTGGATTACATCTGTCTGCTAGGAAGAAAATGAGTGTGTACAGATTATATAGCTTGTAAAATTTAAGCTTTGCAAAGTAACAACAGATTGGGACTAATTTCATTTTTCAAAGATTTTAAAAGCAAATACTCTAGCTCGGAGGTTGGGTGTAATTTTTGCGTTTAACTGTTCCTCTGTTCATTAATAAAATATAGTTTCTTTACGATTAGCACACCCACGAAGTGTTATGTGGTCGGGTTTCCAGATCACATACAGATGCTCCAGATAAAAGAAAAAAAAAAAATTCAATGAAAACAAAATGACAACATTGACGAAACCAAACTTGTACTATTGCCTCGAAACCGGCCTTCATAGCATCGGAACACACGTCAAACACGTTTGTGACGGGACGCGAGCTGAATCAAAGGTCACATTGTTCTGTTCTCATTTTCAAAGTTACATCATCATCCTCGGAACACAATCTCTAAATTAAATGTTGCTTTTTTGATGTGTTTTTTTTTGCCTGCTAGTTTCTAGGCCCCTAGAACCCTACACTACACCGAGGATTGATGGTACATAAACTTATAAATAACAAACAAGAAAAAAGAAACGTCATTTAAAATTACCACTATTGTTATTACTATCATTAGTGTTTAGTATGGAGCATCTAATATAGAAGTTCATTTCAAAATAAACATGGGAAGGAGGGGGGGGAGGGGGAGAGGGGTAAATAAAAAAACATTCCACAATGCTTAAAATAAATTAAAGATCAAAACCGTTCAACAACTCAATTATTCTTTATTAAATTCGTTATCGTTAATTTTTTTTTTTTTCATATACACTTATAAAATATTTTGATTCATTTTAAGCAGATTAAACTTGCACCGATCAAAGTTTGGTAGATTATTAGAAGAACTACTACTTAAAACAGTTGTTAAACTGAGTAAATAACCGCAATTAACTACGTAAAATGATTGGAACAGACAATAAAAAAGAACCAGAACTCTCGAAACTACTTCTTTAAATCGAAAAAGTTGTCCTTTTTTGTAGCTTTTACAAATAATCAATTTTAGAAAAATATACTTGATCTTTTCTGGCCTAGTTTTCTTTTTTTGGTGTTTCTAAAGCATTTCAACAGTTCACGGTCTTTTAGCCTCTTCCTTTTTTTTCTGTCCCTTATTTTGCTGTGGAACCAAAAATTCTTATGACCTATGCACTGACGAACAAAATACTTGATACGGTTCACAAAAATTTCTGCGATTACCGACTTTATACGTTTATCAAACAACTGACATTAACCTTTTAAAAGCATAAATAATCTGTTTACTTAATAAAGCACTAAACTGCTTCTTTCTTTTACATCTTTGCGAAAGAAAAGACTTTTTTGCACGAAGAGCGCAGTCTTTTGTGCGTGTTATATAATTAACTGAAATCTTAAAATGACAGTTTTTTTGCCTATTATTTTTCGAAGATAAATCTTATTTTCACCTGTTCATCAGATTTTGATCTCATTTCCAGAAATTTACTCATTGATCCCCGTTGTTTATCGGCCTTTTTTAAACGGTATTTATTTTGTTTAGCATTAAAGATTATTGTTTGCAAAAAGACAACAACAAATGTTTGCTTTTTTTATATGTGATTAATGTTTGGACCATAAAAGTACTGAAGAAGTTCTTCTTTTGCATCATTCTGAGTGCAGCAGAAAAGGGTTCAAGAATAGGCAGTAATTTTTAGAGGATAATAAAATTACTACTTAAAGTGAATTAGTGGTGGAACACTTTTTTGTTTCTTCTTTTTTCGCTTTTTTTCCACACACTTAAAAACTCAGAAGTTAATCATACATTTAACACATAAAATCCAAAAACAAATGTTTTGCATCAAATGAAAAGTTGGTTTAAAAAATGGATGAAAAAAAAAACAACAAAAAAAAAGATTCTTTTTCTTCCACATTCTTCTTTGCAGGTGCAAAGAGGAGGATTATTTGTAAAGCATAGTAAATGGTTTGACACTTCTTTTTTGTTTTTGAAAAAGATAAAAACTAAAAAAGTCTTTCCACTTCTCTCATAACTTTCTTCTCTCAGCAATTAAAATTTTTGCTCAATGTAAACAAATTTTTATGGTCACATTACTTACTTTTACATTTTTTAAACTACTGATTTTTTTTTTTTTTTTTTTT